ATCATAGCATTCACTTTTTTTTTTTTTGACTCAAAAAATTGTGATTTAATAAAAAATTTGACCTAATAATATAACATTAATATCTATCTAATGTTAAAAACTTGATTTTGAATATTAAATATTAAATATTTCTATTCAATACTTTTGTTTTTTATAAGACAGTAAAAAACAAACAAAAAATGTAAATCATAAACTACTGTACTATCACATATAGTATGTATAGTATTATTTTATTACATTTATCTATCAAAAAAATATTGTTTTTTCTTTCTATTACAATTCTTTTATTATTATACATAGGAAACCCGTTAAACCGAAGGCAATCGTGCAGGAACTTTTCTTCTGATTAACGGGTTTTTTATAATCCGAAGTTATTATTAGATTCTAATTCATAAATTAATTCGGATAAACGGGGTAATAAATTTAAAATTTTAGGATTTAGAATTTCCTTTGTCCATTTTCTGGTAGTGAATTGATTTGGATTCAATGATAAAAAATAATCACTCTTTTTTAGAATTTCAGAAGCAGTAGATTCGCTGACATTATAATTAGATGCAAGCTGGTTGTTTTTTATGTTTGGGTCTTTATTTTTTTCAATGCATATTTATATTTTTTGTGAGATTGTTATAGGCGTATGTTTTCTTTTTGATACCTCAATTTCTTTTTCAGTAGATGTTTTTTTTTCCTCTTGTTTGCACTAGAGGAAAGTCTACCCTGGTAATTTTTGTACATATGGATTTGTACACTTATTATTGGCCCAATTTTTATTTCACTTCGGTTTATAAAAATTCCGATTAACGGAGCAAATTTACATATAAATAGCTTCAAAAATTTAAAAAAATGCTTCGGTTTACGGTTTATAAAGTTTTATTATTGAAATTCATAATAACGGGGTAATTTACATATGTTTAGCTTTGGTGTTTTAATAATTATTCATTTTAACAGGTTTTTTGGATTAACGGGTTGCCTATTGCTATGTATTTCATAAAATGAAAAAAATCAAAATGCCTTCGAATTGTCTTTAGTGCCTGAGTTTGAAGCATGTCAATATTGGTATAGGGTTGTTTTGATTTTTTTTTCGATTTAAAATTAACAATAAAATAAAAATATGCTTGAGCTGTCTTTAGTATTTAAGTTTGTAACACACACATACTAAACAATATTGGCATGTAGAATTATATGTCAAAACTAAAAATCAAAACTAGTTTCGATTTATGGAGAAACCTTTTGACTTTCGCACAGTTGCGAAACTCTCTGGTTATGGAAACCAACACTAATTGCATGATACGTTGAACAGGTTTAGGTACAGACTTTTGTAAGTTTAAATTTTGAAGTTCTAAAATCCTATCACGATAAATCAATCACTAAGGTTTGATGATGATGAATTTTTTTTGATGTTAAAAAAATTTTTTTTTCATTTATATAAATAATAATTTATTAATTCTTTATCAATTAATTCCGATAGAGAAAACTTTTCAATTGTTAAAAAATTCCATTAATAAAAGGTTAAAAATGTGACCAGAAAGAGTAGGTCAATAATAATATTACGAGAAAATTGTTTGTTACACATGACATTCCATCAAGGGAAATAGATAAATATAAATCGTGTCAGAGTCTAATAATAATTGAGGGTAAAAAGTATAAATACGTTCTAAATTATCTTTCATTGTAATCCATATAGCCACTCTCTAGCTCTCAATGCTTCGCTGATTCCCTATTAGGTTTCGCTCTGATCTGTAGAGCCACCCCCTAATAACAATACCTCGCTTAATTCTTTCGTTAGGTTTCATTTAATATTCCTTAAATAATCTAGACTTTTTTAAAATTAGTATTAATTTATTGGTTCGTTATGTTTGTAGCATTTACAACTTATTGTAGATCGTTCCCAATTAATTTCAAGGTTCCCGATCTATATATAAATAATAATAAATGGAATTATTATTAGCTTTCTCCGCACTATTCAATATATAGATATTTTAAATTTTACAAAACATTTATTTTTATATAATGTTATATCGTAATAATAAATTATTATCACCAGAAAGAGAGGAATTTGTATTTAAAATTTATTGTGAAATGTATAATAATGCTTTTGTTAATATAGAAAGTAGAAAAGATTATTTTTTTTCATTAGTTGAAAAAAATGAGGAGTTTTCTGAAAATGAAAAAAAATATTGTAAAGATAGATTTATTTATAATTTTGAGTTAGAAAATGCAATGTATAAAGAAGGCAAACCAAAAGAATGTAACAATTGTAAATTAACAAGGTACTCTGATAGATTCTGTGAAGGTTGCATCAGTTTACAATTACAGAATCTTTTCACTACATGGACATCTGAAAATAACATAATTGATGATTTTATTCAACAATCTCAAATGAAATCATCTTTACCACACAATATTTTAGAATGGATACCTTTTGAACAATTTGAAAAAGTAACCAAATTAACAGAAGGTGGATTTAGTTCAATTTATACTGCATTGTGGACAAGAGGAATGCTTATTGATTATGATGAAAATAAAAAAGAATTTAGTTATTTAGGAAAGCAAGAAATAGTGTTAAAAAGTTTAAACAATTCAAGTAATCCAAAAAAAGGCTTTTTTGATGAGGTTGGTAGTTGTCATTTAAAACAAAACAAACAATGCTATATTATACAGTACTAATTGATTCCATATTTATTTTCAGGTAATAAATTATTGTAAAATTAAATCACACTTGATTGTTAATTGCTATGGTATAACTAAATTTCCAGATAATGGAAATTATGCAATGATTTTAAATTATTATCCAAAAGGAAATTTAAGGGATTATTTGCAAAAACATCATTTGAACTTAACATTGAAAAGAAGAATTTTAATCATTGGATATTTATTTGCTGCATTATATTATATACACATAATAGATTTAATCCATTGTGATTTACATAGTGGTAATATATTATTGCATGGAAATGGTTGTTATATTACAGATTTAGGATTATGTGGACCAGTTGATGAAAAATTATCAAATAAAATCTATGGAATTATGTCATATATTTCACCTGAGCTACTTAGAGGCAAAATTAATACAAAGAATACCAAAGAATCTGACATTTATAGTGTTGGGATGCTAATGTGGGAAGTATTTGCAGGTCATCCACCATTTGATGATAGGGCTCACAATTTTCATTTAATTCTTGATATATGTAAAGGTTTACAACCACCAATCTTATCTGGAATTCCTGATGATTATGCACAAATGATGAAGAAGTGTTGGGATGTGGACCCATCAAAAAGACCAACTAGTATAGAGCTTTATGAATTTAGTGAAAATAAATGTAAAGAAACACTTAATAATAATAATATCAATATTAGTATTAATAGTCATAATAGTATTGGTAATAATATTACTAGTGGTGGTAATAATATTATTAATGGTGGTAATAATTTACAAGTAGTTCACAAATCACATCCAGATGCATATCATATAAGTAGAGTATTAGATGAAGAAATTGCCAAATCAAAAAACTTAAAAAGTTATACAAGTAATGATAGTTCATTAAATGATCTTGATTTTAACTTTTTTCTTTAATGCTGAAGGTGAATAAAAATTTCATTTATTGATCAATTGGAAATTCCTATCCATTAATTATTAATATTTTTTATACATTTAATTGACTAATAAACATTCTAGTAAAAGAAAAGGAATTGATGAATGATTAATTTTAATTTTCATTATAAATTTATTTATTATAATAAAACAATATTACTTTTTTTAATTCTTTGTTAAATGATGGAAACCTTTTGATTATTTGATAACTTTTGGGCTACTCTTGTCAGTTAATTGCAAATAATTTGTTCCATGTCAATTACAAATTTACTTTACTGCCTCTTTCTTGTATATATGTGAATCTGTAAACACGCTTGATTGTACCAGATAACTGTAATTAATTAAATAAAGATAGCTCTTTTACAAAGCTCAAATGCCTTTACAAACTTCCTTTTTATTCACTTGTGACCAATTTATTTCAATTGTTTACATTTCTTGACCAATTACAAACTCGCTTTGGTCTATTTACAAAACAACTTGTTAATTGCTTTTTTTAGATCCTGTGATGTACGATCAGAAAGAATTGTCACGCGACCATATTTTTTTTTAGAAAGTAGGAAATGCATACAAACGGAAAAAACACAGAGTTTTAGTAACGGAAAAACATTGAGAATAATCTCGGGGTAAATTTTTACAAGGTCTCGTTCCTCTAGCTTTCCTTACTAAATGGGTCTCTGCTCGAGTTATATATGTACGCATTTTACATATAACTATTGTGAATAGGAATATTCAAGATATGAATGCGGTATTTGACTACCAAGAGGTATGTAGATGCTTTTCGTCTTGTAAACCAATTACCCATATCAACATGCAAAAATTATTTTTTATTGTAATACAAGAAAAAAAAGGCGGTTAGTAAAAAATATTGTTTTAATGAAAAAGTAGCCAAAATTATATGATGAAAATTATAGAGAATCGGAGGATCTTAGATTATAGCATATGAAATTTTTAGAGCATGTTATTATGTTATGTAGGCTTCAGAGCAATTATTAAAGAAATTTACACGTTGAATTGTTTTTTTTCAAAATAATCAAATTCCTTTTATTCCAATTGACAAAATTCTAGAAAAATCTGGAGGTATGAAAGTTTATATATATATTCTTCAGAACTTTCTTTACAAACTGGTATAATTTTTTGTATGATTATTATGTATATTTTTGTGTCAGGCTTATTATTAAAAACTTCCATGTTAAAATTTCAGGCACAAAAATTTTGCAAAGCTTTAAAAAAAAGATATGAATTAGCTTTACAGAAAATTGGCAATAGCATATCATATCTATTTTTTTTATTAAACAAGGTAATTTGATAAACTTTCAAACGTATCTAAATTTATTTAATTATGTTATGTAATTGTTGAGATATGCAATTTTTTGTCACCGCCATTTTTTTCTTAACACGCTGTACCTATTATTTAATTATGTACTGTTAACGAGACTGTAGGACTTGGGCGAGTATTACGAGTTAGGTTAGAGACAGCTTGATCTAATGCTTGAATTAGTAAACTTTCATTATAGTGGTTGTGGTGTGACTAACTCTACTCCATAAAGGGGTGCATCTTCCAGAGATTGTGGAGAAAAAAAAGATGTGCTAATATAAATACATATCAACTTTTCCACAGTCTTATTAAGGATGTTATTAAGGCATTATTTAGATTCTCACCAGATAACTTTAAGTTTGGTATTTTCATAGCAGAATAACTTGGACACCATGCAAACGATATATGTCCCTTCCGTATATTCAGCCTTGTTGTCATCCATAAAATAGCACCAGATATGCCGACTGTAAGAAGATGAAGATTAGATATTAGTTGATTATCGATACAGAGTATCTCCAATTACCTGCATTGAGTCTATGATTCTATGCATTATGCGTGCATATATCTTCGATTCTTCGTCGCCTTCTTCGAAATCTGTTGGTATAGGTGGGAGCGAAATCATCATTCCCCTTTTGTTTAAGCTCTTGGATTTTTCTAAGAAAAGTTTAACTAATTCAGAAACAGCAGGACCCATTTCGAATTGATCGTATGGCAAACGTATGATTTCCCTCGAGTCTTTCTTTTTCTCTTTTGACAATTTTTCAAAATTATATTGGAATCTCGAACAACAATGCAACCAAAATTGAAGGAATCCTTCCAAAAGCAAAAGGTTAACTGATTTAATAAGAACAAATGAGTTGGTTTCCCCTCTTGTATTATTTTTATCCTATAAAAGTATAGAGTAAAAAACTTGAACCATCTAAATTATAATACCAATCGTTCTCTGTTTGTTTGAAGAAACAGGTCGACATCCATCGTGTTTATGAATTTGAGGGAATCTGGAATAAAATACATTGATGCTTGTAATGAGTAAATGTAACACTGAATTGACAATAGTCTAAACTAGAGATGCGCTGTGCATAGTGTGTTGGGGTATTCGATATAAGTTGGTTAACAAATCTAATTAATGTCATAATGTAAATCCATATATGCGGATTTTTTTAT